AGACTACGACAGAGAGAGACAGAGTTGTGACTTGAGACTTGACGACATTGGATCCAGACTTGACATTTGGGATTCAGACATTTCGACAAGGGACTATTTGGGCTTATGCCGAAGACTCGGTGTTGACGACATTCCCATCTTCCCCCTCCTCTTCGTCTATCCCCTTCCTCTTCATCTGTGTATGGTATGGGCTGGCACAGTCTTCCTGTGTGAAGCGCCAGGCCCTATTCACACCATGTAACGATGATGATGATGTATGTTCAGGGCTGCATTGCAACATTCATTGTTCGGATCACTGGTATCTAAGTCTTCCGCTGTGTTATCTTGTACTTTGTATTGAAAGGTCGGTTCTTGTTCTGGTCTGCACGTTACAGTATGCAAAACCTAACCAAGTACTGTCAGCAAGTACCAAAAGGGACTGTGCACATTCTGGGCCTGGGCGACGAGGCCAGACCACCGAAAAAGCAAAGTATAAATAAAGGGGCAGTGTCAAGCCATTCATTCATTCGGCCTGTTAGCCATGCATTGGAGGTCTGCAGACGTTCGAGGAAGAAGTGGGCTAAGAGGTGGAAGAGGCGGCCATAGCCGCTAGTTCAGCGTAGGAGGAAGACGGCAGCCATAGCAGCCATGTAGGATAGAGAAGGATGTGTGTACACCGTGTGTGTGGGCCATTCAGGGCGATCCTAGATAGCGTCTGAGTGTGTGTGTGTGTGTGTGTGTGTGTTCGAACAAGTTGCTGGTCAATACAGTTGATCGGGAGCGAACTTTGTCGGGGGCTGTGCACCATAGCCATTTGAGACAGGCTGAATCTGAACAGTGTTCCTGGCTGCGTTCATCTCTCTGATTTTTGTGTGGGCGCATAGCGCCAAATCATGTTCGTCATCTGTTTGCATGCATGCTGGCAACGAAGTCAGTCGAGTCTGATTGCACAATTTATATCACTCTTTTAACTTGGAAATGTTTTAGTTTCTTGAAGTTGTGCACACACACACCATGCACTGTGCGTGTGAAGTGCGGCACATGTGCCGCAAGTACACAAATGCTCGCATGGCATGCTCAAGCATCGCACAAATCAAAAAATGGTCCATCGCACCAGCATCACAGACGCCTGATCATCTGGAAGCAAGACCAGACAACCCATCTTTTTCTCTACTGTTTTTCCTTTCCTGATCCACATTCTGCAAATTACGGCTATTGTGCAAGAATCGGGATAGAGAGCCTACCTATTTCCAAGTACCACTGCTCAAGCTCATCATACTCACGCAGAGCATCCTCCCGCAGCTGTGCCATGCCAAACATGAAGGCCAAGCTTTCCTGCAAAACAGCCAAAGACATGCACAGAATGATTTTGTCGCACTTGCATTGCTCTTGTGGAATACTGCAATCTGCAGCAGACAAGAACCGAACAAGAACTGCCAGAATGAAAATGGAACAACAATTTTGCGGTCGGTTCACTGCTGACAGAGACACATAAGTGGGGCACTTTGCCGTGCGCAGCACGCCAAACCACAGTGCAGAAGACATCCCCAGAAAATTGGAAAAACATTGATGTAAAGAATGGTTGCAAAAAATACCTTTCTCGGCCTTTTGGCTAAGATCAAGTGTAGTATCTGTTCTGATCAGTTTAATATCTGATCCGTGGCCCATCGGGCCACATAAAAAAAAAATACAACAACAAAAAAAAAAAGAATGGTTGCAAACAACTTTCCACGGGAGCGGTAACCCAACACCAGTGTGCTGCTTTTCTCTCCACTTCCCCCTTTTGGTATAAGACACTGTTAACTCCCACTACACTTTTGGTGGCTTGACCAAATAAAGTGAAAACCAACATCCCGATCCGCGAATGATGTCAATGAACTGCAGAGTAACACTGGTCAGTCCACTTATGCAAGGAATAAAATAATGAGGAAATCCATGAGATCTATCAATGGACAAGTTCCTCGGCGAAGGACAAGAAGAACAGCCATAGGGACAGAAACATCAGGGAAGACAGATGAAGAAAGTCGTCACATACAAGTTGTGACCTGTTTCAGCTTTGCTGGCAAACAAAACATGACAGGTGATGCTCTCTCTCTCTCTCTCTCTCTCTCTCTCTCTCTCTCTCTCTCTCTCTCTCTCTCTCTCTCTCTCTCTCTCTCTCTGTGTGTGTGTGTGTG